CACCTCAAACCAAATGAAGGTACAGTACAAAGGAAACAGAACTTTCCTCCCCCCTCGATGATGACCCACACACAGGTCAGTTGCAAGTTTATTTTACCCTTTCCATCCCCTGCCCCTGTCCACGTGCATGCAGGCTCCTGGCGCGTGTGTGCGCGTATAAGTGTGTGTGTGTGTTCATGTGCCGCGGCCTGTACATGTGGCACATACCAGAGGAGAGCCAAGGCTTTTGTGAGCGGAACAGAGAAGACACAGACACAAATATTAACGGGAACCGACAGGACGCATCCAGCACGTGATGCTTTCTTTCACTAAAAATAGCTCAAGAACCACCCACAGACAATCAAATGCATTTATCTATTCTAACGTCTCATTTACGGTTTTATATACACGCTACTTTATTTCTCCAAGGGGGACACGGCCAAGACACCAGGCCAAGCTACAGGTTACATCTCTGGAGAAAAGAGATGTAACCTTTTGGCCATACTGTAGTCTTACACCAAGTTTGGCCATAGTGTTAGACAGGGGTCTCAAACTCAACTTAATTCATCTATTCATTTTCTACCCCTTTATTAGTCCATTTCTGGGTCGGGGGAGGGGGTGACAATCACTGATCCTCTGCAGGTGGTGAGTCCACAGGAAGATGGCTGCTACATCAGTGGTGTCACAGCCTGGGTGGAGCTTCAGGCAACATGGGGTTAAGTGTCATGCCCAAGTACACAACAGTAGACATTTGTGGGAGCAGTTGGAGAAGGAGGGGCGACAGTAGCTCAGTTGATAGAGCATTGGCCTTTGAGCCTGAAGGTCGTGGGTTCGAGCCCACCGTAAGACCTACTTCACGACTCCCACTGATGACTGCTGTTGTTGTGTCCTTAACCCCACTTTGCCTGAAGCTCCCACTGGAAGATCTCAGCTCCTGTGGACTCACCACCTGCAGGAGGATCAGTGAGGGGCTGGTGCTCTGTGTACTGGGTGGCATCTCTGGCCACCCCCCCAACCCAGAAATGGATTAAGGGGAAGAAAATGGATGGATGGACAGTTGGAGAAGGACCCATGGTGGGCTTGAACCCACGACCTTCAGGCCCAAAGGCCAATGCTCTACCAGCTGAGCTACTGTCTCAAACTCAAGTTAATCATAAATAATAATCTATTGGTTTTATGTAGCACTTTTTTGGACACTCAAAGATGCTTCACATGTCATTATTCTTTCACTCTAAACACAGTGGTGATAAACTACAACAGTAGCCACAACTGCCCTGGGGCACACTGACAGAAGTATTTGTGAATACGTTTTGGATTCAAATTTTAGAATAGATTCAATTACATAGTTGTTTTAGTTGAAAACAAGCTTTAAAATTAGGAATAACATGCCACGGTTCCTCTTACCACCAAGGCTGCAAGTTTGTCTTAATAATTGAAAATCATTTCAGGAGCAACACTGAAGGGCCTTCTGTTTGACACCTTTAAGAGTAACGGGCAAACAGGTTGTAGTGTATTGCCCAAGGGCTTTTAATGAGTTATATTAAAATGTGTATGTTGATTTTTGTAAGAGATTTTTCCCAGATAAATGTTTTTCTTCAACTCTATAAGATTCAAATTAAGAGATCCTTAATTAACCATGTGTCATCAAAATCTAAGTGGAAATGGGTGGGGGTTTTTTTTAGAGAAAGCTTTTGATTGATGGCAGCCGTAAAAAATGTATCTAGAAATGCAAGCAATGTCTTAATTTGTTTTTTGTAGCTCAGATAGTTCGCCTGTATTTGTCAGATTGATTTTAAAATTTGCTTTTTTTAAAAAGACTAAGGGCTGTGCTATTTCTCGACCCAACAAGGGCATTGCAGAGGGAATCCTTGGTGTGTGTGCATGTGTGGGGGCTCTGTGTGTGTGTGTATATGAGTGTATCTAGTTTGTGTGCGTGTGTGTGTGTGTGTGTGTGCAGTGTGTGTGGAGCGGCGTGTTTTGTCTTTATATGGTTCCGGGCTCGTATTTGTTTAACACTGTGAGCCCCTCTCTGAGTTTTACTGCTGCTCTTTGGGATCTGCTGATTCCTATCCGCTCCTCTCTGCGACCAAAGAGCTATTGAGTTTAATGACCACCCACTGCCAATCAAACACAAAGTTATCACTGTGGCGGTGGTAAAGTGCACAAAAAATGTCACTTTTTAGAAGCAGCAAAAGCAGTAGTATTCAAGATTTGAATTGTTCAATTTCAAAAACAGTGCAATTAGACACATATTTGACAAGTTTACAACCCCTGCTTTACCATGTAGTTTTGTGAAAGCCATTTTAGTGCCATAAAAATAAAGTTTCCCCCCTTCTTGAGCACATTATTTCATATGTACAACAGATAAAAAACCATGTTGAAGATTGTGACTTGATGAATACTACTTGATGACAATTTTTCAAATCAGAGATATCTGTTTTTGCAAATAAACTGTTCAATGGTGACTTATGATCATTCCAAGCATTTCCCCTTTTTTCACATTTGTATTTTTGGCATAGATAAATGTGGTCCCAAGACTGAATTGGCAACCACAATGGAAAAGCAGATTGATACATAAGATACATAAAAAGTTATACAATAATTATGAGAATGCAATAGTTGAATGGCATGAATGGAAAAATTGGGACAAATAAAGGTTCTCTTATCTATTATTATCTCAAACCATCTGTGCTTTTTGAAATGGAATTTTGATGACACGACAAAAGAGATTCTTTCCAAACCGTGCGTCACTTCCTGTACATTTTCCCAAAGTTTTTCTTCCAACTTTCTGTTCTGATTGGTCAAGGGGCTTTAGGGAATTGTATTGAAAATGGTTTATTTGGTGCTCGACTTCAACCGTAACAGAGAGACTAGGCGGCACATGTAAGGACATAACCAATGCAATCTTAAAATAAATCTATTATTTTTCAACAATTATATAAATATTGCTGTACATTCAAAGGCAATTATGAATGGTGTCGGCAAGTATTCTATGACATGTTACTAAAAACACATGAACAACATCATTTAAATGCATTCATGTATTCTCTCTGAAAGTATAGTTTAGTTCCTCTACACACCATTTGAATTAGCACTGCTGCCATCTACTGGTGAATATACATTACTTCACACAGAGCAATTATTAAGGCACCAGTGTCTGCAGCCATGTCGGCACCTTGTTGTCATTATCATTGTAAACGTCATTACCACAAAGGAGCAGAGGAATTCTCAACCTTACGTAAATCTGGGTTATCTGATTGTTAATCAAGGCACAACAAAACTAAAGAATTGATAAGTTCCTTGTTCTCAAAAACAGTTTGATTCTAGTTCTCTCACATGCATCCTTGTTTTGCCTTTACTTCAGGCTTAAACCGGCAGAAAGTGAAAGAGGGGACCACTCACAGGGCTCTGAGTGTGCAAAAGATAATAAGGATATTATAATCAGATGAAACCAGCATCTAGTAGTTTCATTATCTTCACAATATTTTACTTTTACAAACCTCTTTCTGTTGGAATAAAAACAATGTATTATTAATGGAGAAAGAAAGTGATATTTTAAGGTCAATTTTCTGAGTGTACCACATTTTTATCATAAAGAAAACAAAAGCACATTTAACAGCAATAAAAACATTACAACAACAACAGAAGGACTCCCAGAATTCTGAAACGACTAGAACTCCCAGAGCCGTCATTTTGACTGCTCCCATTCAAACCAATGAAATTCTTAGAACGTTTTTCACCAGATTCAGACAATGATGTATTACGTTTTTACCCATTATTCATTCAAGTGCTAGAACCAGAGAGTGTTAATGAAAGACAGCATAAACAGCTAATGCTAACTTCTAATAGTAAACAGTGTGTTGCTAGCACTTGATATTATCTGGTGGAAAAGGTAAAGATGATTTCATCAAAATTCTAATGTCACAAAAACCAAGAATGCACATGAGAGTATTTACACTTCCAAAACTAAAAGTCGTCTTTGCTCTGGCCAATCATGTACATATGTTTTGGGCGTGTTCTAAATTGGATGCATTATGCACGAGACGATTTTAAAATTGTCGGCCGATTTTTCTCCGTGTTAGACCCCACACGGGGAGATTAAAAATCCTGCGTCTAACCACTTTGGTCGTGCAGTGTGTGGTGCGTAGCCACACGGCAAGATCACGCAAGCCACAAACATCACACACGAACCGACACCCCCCCCTCCGAGCATTCCCAGGTCAGACGAAAATCTCACAAAATCTCTCGAGATCAAGCGTGACTTCAGAGTAAACAGTCATGGCGGACGAAGAGGATGCAGTGGCGATAGTGTGCAGTTTGTTGTTAACAGAGAAGACACGTAATCCAAAGAAAAGGCAATGGTCAAAGCCATGCTGCTGTGTTTTGGTTTTTTTCCGGTGTTTCCTCACCGGCTTGTCACCTCGTCTTCTTATTGGCTACACGCCGTAGTCATGGCAACGCGCTCGCTTGTCCTCGGAGGACATCACACACGACCAGAAATCGGGCCAAAACAATCCAACATGTTGGATATCCCCGATTTGAGATCGGGAGCAGTCCCGATGTCCTTCCGAGCGACGAGTGCAGTCTTAACACACCACACACGGCAAGATAATCTGTAAGATTTTGTTACGGAAATCGGAGCGTTTCTTAAGATTGTCGTAAGGGGTAAATCGGGTCTAAATCGGCCTAAATATCCTGCCGTGTGAACCAGGCTTTAGTCAAAAAATTTTATTTAACCTGGGATCCTTTTATAAAGTTTATTGACTCGATGACGTTTCCTCATGACCTGGAGGAGGATTAAACTGCAACAGTGGGAATAGGTTTTGTTTATCCACTTAATTCATATTTTTCCCCTTTGTGTGTGTGTATATTGTCTTAATTTTCTTTCACCTTTTTTACATAACTGAATGCTGCAATAAATAAAGTTGGGAAAAAAACAACTAAAAGTTGTCAAATTGACTGCTCTGGGAGTTCTAGTGTTTAACTAAGTTCTTGGACCTTCACACAGATTACAGACTTACGGTTGACTCGGAGGCTCCATGTGGTCGAGGCGAGTGTGGCACCTCCCGCGGTGGTCAGCTCACACCTGTAGGATCCCTGGTGCTTAGCTCTGACCCGGTCCATGGTGAGGGTCAGTCTGGGGCCGTCCTGTCTCTGCTCCACACTAGCCCCCATCTCCACAGGGGCCCCGTCCTTCAGCCAGCTCACCGCAGAGAATGTAGCTGCAGACACTACGAACAAATGTTTTATTTCATTAGTTTCATGTACTTTAGTTGAGGTACTTTTAACACTACAACTCCCATGGCAGTCAATTTGACGGCTTTTCATTTTGGAAGTGTCACTTTTTGACATGTAATTAAGTTTATGAAATTATCTTGATCCTAGACTTGTTCAGTTCTAGTTACCATAGCAACACAGTTTACTTACAGTATTTAGTTTTGTTGTAGTTCAGTTATATTCACCAGTTTTAATGACAATATTAATGAAAGTAGTGAAAAACCCTTTCCATTTATTTGTATCGAAGCCGTCACAATGTTTGCTCTGGGAGTTCTAGTAGTTTCAGAATTCTGGGAGTCCTAGTTGTTATTATAAATGTCATTTTGGGATGTGATGATAATGTAATAACAGTCTCCCTGAAAAAATGAGACAGGCTTCTTCTCCGACAATGTTCAGATCCATGTTAAACGACATACAACTGAGGGATTGCATCTTTACTTTTTATAATGTACCGTGATCATTCATGATTTTATTGCCTTTATTTTCTATTTATTTTGTTTTGATAAGAGTTTCCTTGTGTGTGAACTGTGCTATACCAATAAAATATTTGCCTTACCTGATAACAGCAATAACCCTAACCCAGTTTTTAGTTCAAATGTGATAATTGTGGAAAGTTAAACACAGACAGATTAAAAAACATTTGAAATATAGTAATGTTTTAGGTTTATGTATTTTCACATGCGCATTGTAATGTTTTCTAAAAAGATGAAGACAGCATGTTGTGGTTAGACAAGACGTTCTGCTGGGAAAAACAAAAAGTTAGGTACTTCAGCTTTAAAATTTGTAGAATGATTAAGGGACAGTAATAAAATCAGTCCAACCACACTTTTGTTGCCATAATCTTCTGTCTGTGACATAAGTAGCTCCTAAACATGGATTACTGATGGAATCCACCTGCTGGGGTTTAACTAGAAACAGTACAATCTCTGTGTATTACATATGAATAGGGCTGGGCGATAAAACGATAACGATATATATCGCGATAGACACATGTTCGATATCAATAGAAAACTGGGTCGATAGAACTTTCGATAGTTTAACTTCACTCCGTTTGAAAAAACAGGAACGAAACACAGGAAGTAAAGCCGAGTCAGAAGCGCGCGGCATTCTGGGGGATGTAGGCAGAGACTTCTCGACCTATCACAGCCGACTAAAAACCGCAACACTTTCTGGGAATGCAAAAACAACAACCGCACCATGCGTAGCGTCCATGGATCATGGATCTATTATAATAGCCATGGATCTAAAGATCGTGTCTCAGTGCCGTGTCAATGGTTAAACACGTCCATGCGAGGAACAGCATGTGCGGCGCGGGAGAGGCAGAGACTCGATGCATTCGGCAAAAGCAAGAGATTAACTTTCCGGAGTCGCCATGGGGACACAGGACACTCGAAAACAGCCAAAACAGGAGTTAAACAAAGACTTAACCAGGATTAAACCAGGATTAAACTAGGACTAAAGTGGGGGAGACTGCTTGTGAACATTTGGCTCCAGCCTCATTCCCCTGTGACTGTACCCAAGGCTGCTAACATGTGTTAGCCGACACAACAAATGTATTTATATACGTTTTAAAAAATAAATAAAAAACAATCAATATATATCGTTATCGACCGATATGAATTACTTATATTGTGATATAGTTTTCAGCCATATCGCCCAGCCCTACATATGAATACGTGTCTTTGTATCCGCTTTCAATTAAACAAATACAGGGTGCCATTGTTTTGTTGATTGATTTTTTTTCATATAACAAAGCCAAAAACAGCTAAATTCCTCCTACAAACTGGCAACCCAAATGTCTGCCTCATTCTGCTCTCTGATTGGATTACCTACTTGAAAACAATAAACGTAAGTATTATGGAATTCATGTCTATTGCATTTTTAATTAGGAATAACAAAGACGGACAAATACTATTTTTTTATCTGGGGACACGGAATATATAAAAATAAAGCATTACAACTACAACTACAACTGGAGCATAACAGTTTATTGTCTCACAATGTATTAGATCAAGCACTGTTAAAGTGAAGTGAAAGTGAAGCTAAAAGCAGTGTTGCTGGTAGTCGTGGTTACCCTGGCAGGTGAAGGAGACATGTGTTCCCTCTGTGGCTTCCTGGTTCAGAGGAACGGCTTCAAAACGCAGGTCGCATCCTGACAGCGTCTTTACTGCACTTCTGAAATGTACAAGAATCAGGATGAATCCTGGAATCCTTACAAATCTCTACAGCATTTGGATTAAAGCGAGGGACTGGCCCCCTCTGCTGGACAAGAACAGCAATTGAAGCGACATCTGTCTAAATCAACTGAGATTTTAACCTTGCCTGCAAAAATTTTTGAATTCACAAACACTCGAGAATACATCATGCCCCGCTCCCGCCAACTCTTTTCGAGTAGAACATCTAGGTGTTCAAGCCAATCACGCGCCAGTCTGGGGGTTTAGGGCGGGATATATGGGTTTGACAAAAGCAAGAAGTGCCGGGCCGAAGCAAAACAAACATGGCTACGCAGGAGGACGGACGCGTAGCTGAGGCTATCAAGTCAGTTTTAGCAGAATCTCCAATTTCTTTTTTGAAAGATTAACAGCGAGAGGCGCTTTGTGCATTTCTGGACGGCAAAGATTATACCGGGATTGGTTTAAGTCAAACCTTGGTAGGTGGGCACACAGCGTCACTTCGCCCAATCAGCTTGAAGTATTCTGCTGCTTATCCCTCCTTTCCCCGAAAGGATTCTCCTGCAGAAGTCCCAGATTAATATTGTGGAGAACGCATTAGAGTTCTACACAATCATCAATCTGGCTTTTGCCAAGTTACTGAGATTTTTACCTGACAAAAAACCAAAAAGGTTGTGGCAAGTTATCTTTTTATTTACAGTCTTTCAGTCTTAGGGAAGTCTGGCCGTCTCTGCTTAGACTGCTGTCCCCACGACTCGGCAACGGATGAAGCAGAAGAAAATGGATGGATGGGTTGTTTTATTTACTTCTGGTGGCAGCCGAGGCCGATAACCTCAATATATATTTTTTTATATATATATATATAAAAAATTATATATTGAGGTTATTATTCTCTACTGAAGATAATATTTCAGTAAATTGTCTCAGCAAAGATTTTTGGCTATTAAAATTTTGATAATTGTTTCAAGAAGAACTATTATGCAAAGAAAATATGTATTTTAAATGTAATGCTTGCTCTTATGTGACAAGCTAGGGCAAACTTCTACATGTAAATGTTCCGTTTGATAAGGAATAGTAAAGACTTGATTTAATTATTATATGAATTACGTTATTAATAATATACCAGTTCTTTTTATTTTCACTGAAACCTTTTTTGTTCTACATTCTGTTAAACTGAGGCAATGAATAAGGAAATAAGTCTTCACTGTACCTGCGATTATCTGAGCCACCCGTCAAGTGCATTGATGGAGAACTCACTGCAGACTGGACCTGAGAAAAAATAAACACCACAATTATTGATAAAAAAAAATAAAAATTGGTTTGTTCTTCAATAAGTTACCTTCACAGAGGTTGTAGTTCTCCGGGGGGCCACAGGAGGGAGCTGTACGGCGGGTCTCAGTCTGGAACTGTGAGGAGGCTCTTCCATAGGCTGGTCTGTGAAGGAGCTGGATGTGCTGCTGCTGGTCACATCTGATGGTGGTTCAGGCCTAAAGCAAAAGTAGGGTTGTAAATCGGGTATGACTTGAGACAAAACTTGATTTCACATTAGAACAACTACATAGATAAGGAACTGCCGTGTGGGTCACTTTACGCCTACTGAGACTCAGAGTTGACTGGCTGCTCCAAAAAAAGGCTGCTCCAAAAAAAGGCTGCTCTATGGTTGTGCGAGTTTAAGATTTAGATGGATTTAGAAATTGTAATAGGAATCAGCAAATGTTATTGTTGATATATCGATTTACGTGCTTGTCTGTTTTTTGGCCAAAGAAAAAAGGGAAAAGCAGACACTTACTTTGTAGATTCATCAGTGGGAGCTGTGAAAATATCAAAAGTTACCAGACAATACGAACACAGAGGCCAATTCAAATAGAAGCATGTGATTGGAGGATCACCGTGGATGCAGAGCTCGGCCACAGCGATGGCGGACCCCACGCTGTTGCTGACCACACAGGTGTAGCTGCCTCCGTCCTCCACACACACCTCCTTCAGCTCCAGGAAGTGAAGCCCAGAACGCTCATATATGGAGAGACGCCCACCGGCTTCCAGCTCCGCCTCCCCCTGACAAACAACAGTTATCAATCTCATGATGTGATGCTTTGTTTTCATGTATTAAACGCTTATGTTTTGATATATATGAACAGGGACAATGCACATTAACACTAGGAGCGCCCCTAGCGGTCAACTGACCGTCACTCACTTTAATATGCTAATTAGTGTATTCAAAACAAAACGCCAGAAGTTGAAATTTTATGACTTTTACTGGGTACTTGCTGTTTATATTTTGGTGTGTTTTGGTTTTGGAAAATGTAAAGAAAACAAAATTTACACGCATTTTAACTTTTATAAACCACAGCCCTTTCTGCTGCCCCATAGGGATACATGGCGCAGGGGCGACTGTTGCCATAGTAACCTTTCCCGGGGGTTTTTCGCGCCTTATAAAAATTTATCAATATGTTGTCATTAGACTCTAAAGGGACTTGAATTGAGAGGAGTACAGAATGAATAGAGCTGCAAGTACACGGTATGAAGCCCTGACAGTGCTTCAAGACATTGAATGAGAACAGTCTGACGGAGGTGAGATGTCACATTTTGAGGTGGAAAGTGACAGCGGGGAGAACACCTATAATATTCTAAATCTGAACGTAAACCCACAGTGCATTTACGGCACGGACAGCAGTGTTGTAACAAGTTTGAATGATCCAATGTTGTCCTAAATGACTGACGATGATTAATAGAATGCACCTGTGTGTAATCAAGTCTCCGTATAAATGCACCTGCTCTTTGATAGTCTCAGGGTTCTGTTTAAAGCGCAGAGAGAACCATGAAGACAAAGGAACACACCAGGCAGGTCCGAGATACTGTTGTGGAGAAGTTTAAGCCGGATTTGGATACAAAAGATTTCCCAGGCTTTAAACCTCTCAAGGAGCACTGTGCAAGCAATTATATTGAAATAGACGTATCCAGGTGTTAGAATGGCAAAATCAAAGTCCAGACCTGAATCCAATGGAGAATCTGTGGAAAGAGCTGAAGACTGCTGTTCACAAACGCTCTCCATCCAAGCTCCCTGAGCTTGAGCTGTTTTGCAAGGAAGAATGGGCAAGAATTCCAGTCTCTCGATGTGCAAAACTGATAGACACATACCCCAAGCGACTTGCAGCTGTGATTGCAGCAAAAGGTGGCGCTACAAAGTATTAGCGCAAGGGGGCCGAATAATATTGCACGCCCCACTTTTCAGTTTATTTGTTAAAAAAGTTTAAATTATCCAATAAATTTCATTCCTCTTCACGATTGTGTCCCACTTGTTGTTGATTCTTGACAAAGACATTTATTTTTATATCTTTATGTTTGAAGCCTGAAATGTGGCGAAATGTTGAAAGGTTCAAGGGGGCCGAATACTTTTGCAAGGCACTGTATATATATGTACGTACGTACGTACGTATATATAATATATATACATATACATATAATAATAATAATAATAATCTTTATTTGTATAGCACTTTTAAAAACAGTGTTTACAAAGCGCTGCACAGTCAGCATGATAAACAATAAAAACAGTCATAATGCAAGGTCAAAATAATTAGATACAGAAACACAAAGCAAACAGAGCAAAACACAAAAGTGACTCAACAAAGACAAAGCAGACAATAAAATACAGCATGTGAAGTTTAAAACTAACAGTTAAAAGCTGTTTGATAAAAGTGGGTTTTAAGAAGAGATTTAAAAGAGGATACTAATGGTGCTAGCCTTATCTCCTCGGGCAGGTCGTTCCAAAGCCGAGGAGCCCGGATAGAGAAGGCTCGGTCACCTTTCGTCCGGAGCCTCGACCTTGGAACAGTCAACAGGGACCTGCCCGAGGATCTAAGGCTGCGGGGGGGCTCGTAGGGGGTTAAAAGTTCAGAAA